TTTTTTTGTTTCTTAATGTTAATGTGTTTTGTGTGTTTTTGCTCTCTGTGTTTATCCTATAATTATTATTATTGCTACTACTCCATTGCGTGTGTGTGTATTCTTGGAGACTCTCTCTGTGTGTGCACCTGGGCTTGCACTGTGATAATGATGATGATGATGAACTGCTTTTTGGAGTGAAAGGAAAAGGAAATAATAATAACAGATGAATTTATATTTATAATTGCGTGTATACACACATATAGACGTACACCCATAGTTGGTGTATATTTCTTCTGTTTACTGGGTAAATTGGGCTAATGGTGTTAATATCTTTTTCTTTGCTTGCTTGTCGTTTGCTGGTGCGCTGTGTGTCTTGACCTGCATCGTTAAAATGTGTTCTTCTTTGAAGGGTGAAACGGACATAATAATAGGAAAATATATTTTAATTATTGCATATTAAGTCAAGCATACCCAATGTTCGTTTGATTTCTGTGTTTGGTGAGTCCTTGGTCCTGCCTACAATTGTTTTGTTTTCGATATTGCTTTATGTGGGACATTTTATGTGGTGCACCGGTGTTGGATTTCGTATAGTTTGTGTTGTTTGTTTTTGTTTTACTGCTGTTTGTTCTTTTCTTTTTCTCTGTGTGAGTTCTCCGTTGTGTTGCTTTTGTTTTCTTCTCTTTGTAGTTAACTGATTTAAACAGAGGAAAAATACTTTTTTGTGGTGATGATGTTATACCGTGTGTTGTATTTACTGACTTTGCTGCTAAGTATTGATTCTGTGTGTGTGGCCTCTGAAGAGGTTCCTGGTACAGGCGTACAACTGCAAAGGGGTGAGACAGGCCCTGTTGGTCCTGCTGGTCCTTGTTCTTCTGGTCCTGAGTGTCCTTCTGCTCGTAGTGAAGATGAAGATTCTCGTACTGATTGTGCGGAAGCTGCTAAGAAGAATTGTCCTTCCGAGAGTGGTGACGTCCAAGAGAATTGTCTTGGTGATTCTGTTCCTCCATGCAAACCTACAAAGGAACCGGCTCCAACTTCACCAAAGGAACCGGCTCCAACTTCACCAAAGGAACCAGCAAATCATCCACCAAAAGAAACCGCTAAAGGTCAACAAGAGGTTCTAGATCCATCTAGTGAACACTCTGGTTCTGCTGCTATTGTGAATCGAACTGGTGGTGGTGGTTCTTCTTCTGTTCATCCTGAGGAACCTCCTCTCACTGCTGCTTCTTCTTCTTCTGCTGAGGAGAGTGTTGTTCCGACTGAAGGTGGCAGACAAGCTGGAGGCAACGGCAGCAGTGCAGCAGGTGAAGGTGCAGCAGATAATGCGAATGCTGAGGCAACACAACCTTCTTCTTCTTCCACCAGCAGTTCAGAGAGAGATAATGCAAGTGGTTCTGATACTGCAAACGCTGGAAATGGCACTACTTCTCCACAGGATGAACCTCAAAGTAACTCATCTGATGAGGGAAATACAGAAACAACACCCACTACCACCACAACACTTCCTCCTGAACTCACAAACAACAAGAAGGGTGATGCAGACAGCAGCAGCAGTATCAGTTCTGTGTGGGTGCGTGTACCACTACTGATTGTGGTTACACTGGCCTGTATTCTTGTGTGCTGATTGAGTAATGGTGGTGGTGTGACTGAGGTCATCCTTTATTTTCTTTTTTCTTTTTTTGCATGCAATCCCTACAGTCTAACTAATCTTCCACCTGTTGGGATTTCTCTTCTTTTTTTTGTTTCTGAATGTTAATGTGTTTTGTGTGTTTTTACTCTCTATGTTTATCCTATTATAATTATTATTGCTACTACTCCATTGTGTGTGTGTGTGTTCTTGGAGACTCTCTCTGTGTGTGCCTGGGCTTGCACTGTGATGATGAGATGTTTTTTTGCAGTGATAGGGAAATAATAACAAATGAATTTATATTTATAATTGCGTATATACATATATAGACTTATACCCATAGTTGGTGTATATTTCTTTGTGTTTACTGGGTAAATTGGGCTAATGGTTAATATCTATTTCTTTGCTTGATGATTTTGCTGGGGCGATTCAGCCTTTTTTGAGATATTTGTGAGTGTGGGCTTTTTTCTTTGTTTTTTACTCTTACTGAGGTTATTGCGCTGTATTGTATTCTTTAACTGGTAGTTTTACTTTCACGATGTGAGTTTCCATAGTGGTAATCGATTGGTGTGTCCTAACATGTTTGATACTTCAGTTATTTTCTTTTTTTTGCTTTTTGATTCTCTTTCTTTCTAGATCAGTGTTTTTACGTGAAACAAACCCTTGTCTCTCTCCTAATAATGATGATGGGCCGTGTGATGTGTGTGTTGGCCGTTGTGCTGTGCTGTGTCGGTGTGGTTCATGCTACTACTACCGCTGGACAGTCAAAGGCAGAGATGACTGTGTTTGTTGCTACGGAAAAAGGACGATCTGTGAATGTGAGACATTCTGGTGTTAGAGCGCAATAAGCAACGTATAATGTGTGGGATCGAGAGGCTGTTAAAGAAGTCCATGAATGTATGATCGGAGGTAGCAACTATGAAGAAAAAAACTGTATTGATTGGCGAGAAAATAGAAAGATTGATAATTTTAAGCCAAAGACTTCACTAGAACAACTTCAAAGAGAAGACCTCGCTGAACCAAGAAGGGAAATAGGTGAACAAGGTCGAGAAAACAACGTTCTTAATGCTGCAGAGAGTGGTCAATCACAAGTGACTGCCGCGGTACAAGTAAGTAAAGTGAGTACATCAGAACCAACAGATCAACCAACTAACAATTCTGAGTCGAGTGATCCCCCGCAAGACGGTGCTACTACACTGGCTACTCCGATTTCAAAAACAGGACAAAGTACAACTACACAACCAGACCAATCTCAAGGTTCAAGTAAAGCACCACAAGCACACCAAGGATCAGCGAATACTACAGAGGATCACCGTGCACCTGCTGACTCTAATACTACCCAGGAACCATCTCCTGAAGGTGCGACTTCCACAGATGGTTCACAAGAGAAAACCAATACTGACTCAACGGCCAACATAAACACTACCACCACAACAACAACAACATTTCCTCCTGCCAACGCAGTCTCTGAAGGAAATGGCGATGCTTCTGCAGCCACCACCAACAACATTAACAGCGAAGCACCAACCAACTCTTCATCTCCATCTCCTGTACCTAACGCAGAGATCAGCACCAACACCACCGCTCCCACTATGCAGAACAAGGGTAACGCTGACAGCAGTGTCAGTCATGTGTGGATGCGCACTGCAGCACCGCTGTTGATTGTGGCTGTGTTGTTCTCCTCTACTGTGTACTGAACGGTGGGACTCATCTGAGGTCAAATAATAATAATGGTTACACTAACATAATCATAATTGCGGACATCCACCATGGGTGAATAAATTAATAATCTGTTTACCAGCATTATCTTTTTAATTGGAATTTCTTTTCTTTTACTTTTGTGTGCGTGTTCTTTTTCTAATAATTTTATTACTTGCTTTTTCGGTTGTGTGTGTTTGCAGAAAACTGGGCTGTTCTGCTCACTGTCGGTATACTTTTATTTTAAGTGCACATGCATATGTGTGCAGTAATTTAATATAAAAACTAGAGCCACGGAGTATTGTGTGTGTTCTTGGAGACTCTCTCTCTCTGTGTGCCTGGGCTTGCACTGTGATGATGATGATGATCTGCTTTTTGTAGTGGGAAAAGGAAATAATAATAAGAGATGAAATTATATTTATAATTGCGTATATATACATATGGATTTACACCCATAGTTGGTGTATTTCTGTGTTTACTGGGTAAATTGGGCTAATGGTTAATACCTTTTTTTTTTGCTTTAGTGTGCGTGGGTCATTCTTTGCTTTTACCCTGCATGGTGTGTGGTAATCTGTTTTATAAGAGCAAAGAAAAAAATAGTAATTAATACAATTTGTATTCGTAATTACTTGAAAAAATCAGCATACCCAGTGGTCTGGGAGTTGTTTTTGTGCGGGTTGGTCCTCTTNCTGATGCTGCAGCTGCAACGTGTGAGTCACGATATGACTGCTGTGAAGGATGAATTAGAAGAACTGCAGCTGAAGTGTACGGACCTGGAGAGGCAGACAGCTGCAGAAGAAGACCGATTGGAGGCCATCATGCTTGAGAAGAAGGCACTCCAATGGTATATTCATATGCTTATGGGCAAGATGTCTGAGGATTTTATTTGTTTGTGTTATCGACCTTTTTTGTTTTATATGTTTTGTTCTGCAAATATATAATCAATGTACTGTTGTTCTTATTGTTTTTGTTATAACTCTCTTGTATTCAGGGGGGATGCCGTTTTTTTCTGTTATTTCTTTTTTATTACTTCTTTCTTTTTTGCGGAGAAATAAAGTAAGACATAATAACAATTATTGTAATGATGATGATGACACGCTACGTGATCTGTATTTTGCTTCTTGCACTTTGTTGAACTTGCAGTATTGTGTTGGCTACTACTGAGCCTCAATCTGGAGGTGGTGGTCCTCCTGCAACTGAAGTTGGTGATGAAGCTCATGTGGGAGGTGAGGCCGGTGGTGGAAGAGGAGGAAAAGGCGGCAGTAGTAAGGGTGTTACTCCTCTTGAACAGCCTAGAGGAGAAGAAAGTGTCTCAGAAATATTGCCAGATTCTGATGAGAGTCTTCCTAAAGAAGAAAGACTAGACAATCAGGAAGATGACAAAAATAAAATGAAACAACCTGACGTTGGCCATAAGGGACCTTCAGAAAACCAACGACCAGGAGGGAATACTCAGTCTCTTCTTCAACCTGCCAGTCCATCACAACCAGTAGCAGGAGATAGAAACGATGGAGCCCCTTCTCCATCAGCAAATCAGAACGATCAAATTCAAGGTGGAGGTAAAGCGGATTCGCAGGGTAACGTACAAGTGACCGAAAGAACGGAATCAGGAAATAATGGTGGATCCAATTCTGGAAGTGAAAAGAATACTGTTGGCTCTCTCACTGCAGATGAACCCAATGCTAATAGTGAAGAACAGAAGTGTGAAAATGCACCAACTTCCCCCAATAAGAATGGTACGCAAGGTACTAACGATGCAGACACCAGTGGTACACAACCTCAAGAAGAACCCGGCACAGAACCATCTACTCCTTCAGCATCTTCGCACACTAATGGAGCCGCAGGTAGTGAGAATTCTGCACAGACATCAACAAATAACTCAGCGAGTACGAACTCTGAAACTTCAACTACACCCAGTAATGAGGACTCAACCACCACCACCACCACCACAACAACAACAACAACACTTCCTCCTGAACTCACAAACAACAAGAAGGGTGATGCAGACAGCAGCAGCAGCAGCAGTATCAGCAGTTCTGTGTGGGTGCGTGTACCACTACTGATTGTGGTTACACTGGCCTGTATTCTTGTGTGCTGATTGTG